TATGCTGAGATGTAGATATAGAGAGAAGGGCTTAAAATGTGTGAATTCTTTTGAATTTTTAACATCTTAGCATAAACATGACCTTAAAACATGATCTATTCTCCACACGAGTCCTAGCTCATAATTTATATGCCACTGGATTCTCATTCTTTCCCCATTCACTAGATCAGGTAGTTTCAGTTTATTCAGGCTGCAAAACATTGACAGAAAACTAACAAAAAGATGAAATGCATGTTTTTGTAATTTATGGGAAAGCATATATGGACATTATTTGAATTTTATAAAAAATGATGCCTCAATTACTGTCCCAGAAGGTCCACCATTTATGACAAATATTAAAAAGTAAGCTTTTTATTATAACTACAAAATGTTCCAATGTTCATCAATTAAAACTTGCATTTCACAATTCCCTGGGAGTTTAATGTTTTAACCAAATTAATCATTCTCAAATGAGTAGGAGGCAATATTGACCTTTTCCTTAGGGGAAAAAAATCTATATATGTCCCTAACTGTGAATTTTGAGCAAACTCTTTTATTGCCCATGGTCTGTAATGGAACTCCCATCAAGTTCAATTTGAGAAACCCTGTTTTAGCGGCAGATATGATTTTTTTTTTTGTATGGTTTTTATTGTGTACTCATGAGTACTGTCTTGCAACATGGGCAGTGCCTATAGGTCATCTTGTACTGTGTCTTTGCTGTTTTCTAAAGTTTAGAATGAGGACTTTGTAAATGATTAATTTTCTATGTGGTAGAAACCATACTCCAAAGCATACCGAAATGTTGTTGTTTTTTTAGTTTGAGCACTACTGAAATTTGTGCTGTATGGAAAACTCAACTGACCTAATAAACAAAATGCTTCCCTTTGCTGCTTTCTAATAAAACCTAAAAGGGCTAAGTATAAGGAAGAGGCCGACAGTGCAGTTTTTGAAACATGCCAAGTTGTCAGTGAATCTAAGCCATGTGTCTGGCCAACTCACTCTTGGGAGTTGGACAAATTGATGTGTCAGACTTGTGCCTGATCCTCTCTATGTTTTATAAATGTTGATCTTGAGCTATTTTTCTAGAAAGTGCCCTATAATTATTTTGATCATGTGACTGGAAGGCTTTGAGGCTTCTGTTGTTTTGGAAGACATCTGATACTTTTAGTGGGACTATATTTATTTTAATAATTTATATGGCCACCCATCTCACAACAATGACTGTGGGTTGTATGCAAGGATTAAAACATCAGTTTCGAGCGATGACCCATGATACCCAAGATAAACATTACATCCCAATCATAAAACCGCTTCAGCAGCAAATTTCGTCTAACATTCTGGCCCAAATGCCTGGGGAAATGTCAGGTATTCAGAACTTGAAAAGCTAACAGGGTCAGGTCAGGGTCATCTGGCTCTGTGACAGGATGCTGTTCCACAGGGCAGGTGCTGCCATAGTGAAGGCACAATTCCAGGGTCCATCAAGGTGATGATGTTTGATAAAAGAGGACTGAAGCCTGTTAGAAGTAGAAGTAATGGGAGAAAGGCAGTCACCCAAATAGTCTGGCAGTATCCCATGTAGAGCTTTATAGGTGAGAACTAGCACTTAGAATTGTATTTAGAAGCTTACTGGAGCAGCTTGTGGAGTAGGGTGTATGAGTATGTGAAATTGACAAAACTGCCTTTGCTGCTGCATTCTGAACCAGCTTCAGCTTCCAAATGTTCTTCAATCGAAGTCCCATATTCAATGCATTGCAGGAATCCTAATGGGAAATGTTTAAGATGTGAGTTGTCCTGTGCAAGGCCAAAGCCAGGGGACGACTTACAACCACAGCCATTTAATCTTAGTAGGGTGGACCTAAAGTTCTCCTCTATCCAGACCCTCATAGCCTCTAGGAACCAGAAAAGAACTTCAGTGGCATCACTCGGTGAGCCCAGGGTAGAGAAGCACAGTTGGTTATTATTAGTATACTAGTGATAATGCACCCAACTGGATGACCTTACTCAGCAGTTTCATGTAGATATTATATAGGAGTAACGAGAAAGTAAGAATCTAGAGCAGTGATGGCGAACCTTTAAGAGACTGAGTGCCCAAACTGCAACCCAAAACCCACTTATGCATCATCGAGTGCTGGGTGGGTGTGGCCCATTGGCTGGGTGTGGCCAATTGGGTGGGCATGGCCAATTGGGTGGGCATGGCTGCGGTGGTAACGGCAGACTGGGTGGGACTAAAAAGTTCAATCAATCAAGTCCAACTTTGCAAGATCTTTTTTTTCCCGTGAGAAGTTGAAATTGACTGATTGAACCTTTTTTTTTTTTTTGCACATGGTGGAGACCTAAAGCAAAAAGGTTTTATAAAACCCAGCTGAAGGCCTAGGACTGGGGCGATGGCGCGCGTGCCCATAGAGAGGGCTCTAAGTGCCGCCTCTGGCACCCGTGCCATAGGTTCGCCACCACTGATCTAGAGGTTCTCCACAAGGCATGAGTCTCAGGTTCTAGTTTTCTCCACCCCCAACACTAACATGAAATTAAAATAGCTGTGAATAAAGGAAAAGAACCATTGTAATACAGTGCAGGCCAGGCCAGAAGAATACCATGAACGATGGTATTGACAACCACTGAGACATCAAGGAGGGCTAGAATGGATGCAGTGCCCCCACTCCAGTCCCCCAGAAGTCCCCAACAAGTGCAATCAATGATTTCCCAGTGTTATAGTCAGGCCCTAATCCTAACTGGAAAGGATCCAGATAATCCGCTTCTTCTAGGACCATGTTGGAGGCTGGATGAAAATTGTCCAGTTCTCTTGATCCATCAACTCTCTTAAAAAGAGGGCAGACAAGTGTGTCTTTCAAAGCAGACAGAACAGCAGACAGTGCAGTATTTTGCCACTGTCTGGACCCGACCACTTGTCACCTCCCAGGAAACCTTAGTCAGCCAGGAGGAAGAGGAATTAAAATACAGGTAGCTGAACTCACAGCACTGGGAACTCTACTCATTTCATCAGAGCTAATACGTTCAATCTCTTCCCAGATAACTGTCTCAGGCAATTCCAAAGGACCTGGTCAGCCAGATTCCAACTGCAAAAACTGAGTGACTTTATCCACTAGATTCCTAGAAGAGTCTTCATGGCAGCCCTGCAGTTATTATGTCCTTTTTATCCACTCTGCAGATATAATAAGGGTTGAGAAGTAAGAAATCTCACTGTCCTTATTGCCACAAAATAATCTTTAAGAAAGGCTATTACCTATGTTTGGTGAAGTTCACTTGGGGTTTTTCTCCAGCTGCATTCTCAGTGTCCGTATGCCATGATATAAATGTAATGAGTGGGAGCAAAGCATATTTCTAGAAGAAATCTAAAGGTAAATGAAACTAAGATTTTCAAAAAGATGAAGGGACTTTACAGGGTATACATTTTTATACAGAACTAGAAATCTTGTGAGATTTCATGACTCTTCAGACTGCCAAGAAGAGTAAAGTATTCCCTTACTTTTCCAACTGTATTTGGTAAAGCTTGAAAATCAGATTAAGTTTCCTAATAGTTCAGCACAAATTCCCTAAAGATCCAAAGACCCAACAAATCATCTCCCTTTCTTAAGTATTTAAATTACCAAAAGGGATATCATCCAATTTGAGGGATATCATCCAATGAAGTACAATGTTGATAGATAATTTGCAACTCGATGACACTAACTATGTAATTCTGATAGTGTTGTTTAAATTCCATTTTTTATATATATCTTTCAGCTTTGAAGAGATCCTTTGAAGTTGAAGAAGTAGATCAGCCTTCAAATTCTTCTACTCCACAAAGGCGGACACCCAATCCTCTTGTAAGGTCCACAGTGTCCAGTTCCACACAGAAATTCCAAGATCTTGGGGCCAGAAATTCAGAGACTCCTTCCAGACATGGGGAGTCTCCAGCACAAAGATCTCCCAAGTCTTCTTTAAGGAGAGTTGAGATTTCTGGGCCAAAACATCCTGAACCAGTGTCCAGAAGAACAGAAATCTCCATTGACATATCATCCAAGCAAGTGGAAAATTCCACCTCAGGAGCATCAAGATTTGGCCTCAAGAGAACAGATGTGTTGGGACACAAGCCTCTTGAGACTCCTCCCAGAAGGACTGAGATCAGTATAAGTAAGCCCCAGGACCAAGCTCTTCGCAGAATGGAAGTCCCCTCAAAGATCCCTGAACCAACCCAGCGCAGAGTTGAAGCCACTAGTCCGCCTTTGCCTGATGTTGCTACCAAACGTGTGGAAATCCAAGTAACAAAATCTTCTGAGGTCCCCGTGCCACCAATCAGGCAGACTGAAAATGTGGAGCATTTTTCAACCAATCAACATCTGCCACCAGAACCAAAGATACAGCCAGTGGTGACTGAACTGCCACACAAAGGCCAAGAAGGTAAGCAAATAAACAGTTTTTCCTTTTCTTTGTCCGTCTCTTCCTTTCAGAGATTTTTTGCCAGCCACCAGGATTATAATCAGTTACTATTCTAAAAAAAAAGAAAAAAAGAAAAAAGAAATTGGTGTATTAATTCATGTGTATTATTTCAGTTATAGCTCAGCTTTATTTTATTTGTTTGACTTTGTTGTTGTTGTTAGTTGCAAAGTCATGTCCGACCCATCGCGACCCCATGGACAATGTTCCTCCAGGTCTTCCTGTCCTCTACCATCTTCTGGAGTCCATTTAAGCTCACTCCTACTGCTTCAGTGACTCCATCCAGCCACCTCATTCTCTGTCGTCCCCTTCTTCTATTGCCCTCAATCTTTCCCAGCATTAGGCTCTTCTCCAGTGAGTCCTTCCTTCTCATTAGGTGGCCAAAGTATTTGAGTTTCAACTTCAGGATCTGGCCTTCTAAAAAGCAGTTGGGGTTGATCTCTTCTTGGACTGACCGGTTTGAATGCCTTGTAGTCCAAGGGACTCGCAGGAGTCTTCTCCAGCACCATAGTTCAAAGGCCTCAATTTTTTGTTGCTCAGCCTTTCCTATGGTCAAACTTTCACATCCATACATTGCAACTGGGAAAACCATGGCCTTTACTATACGCACTTTTGTTGGCAAGTTGTTTGACTTATATCCCCCCTTTTGTACAGGACCTTAAGATGGCAACACATATAGGACTCCCTCTTCCTGTGTGGTATGGTGGGCTAAGGGATCTGCCCAAAGTCACCCAGGGACCATCTATGGCTAAGAGTGGAGTAAAACCTCTGTCTCTCCACTTACAGTCCAACACCGTAACCGCTATACCACACTGGCTCTTATTATATGTCTGGATTACTTGAGGTAGCAATAAGATTTTGATTACTATGGTAAAAATGTAATAAGTGATACACCACTGCCCATTGCTTTTATATTAATTGAGGGATGGAATTATGTTCATATTTATTTTAGACTACTGTGGATGAATTGTGTACTTCTGAATTGGCACTGGATTTCTGTGTTGGTTTACAGTTTGCAATTAAAAATCTGAATTTTATAATTTATAACAGAGTAAGCAAGTGCATTACATTCATTGGATTTGAGATCATTGTTACCAAAGTAAATCACCGGATCTTTCCATTTTGAAAAAGGAAGATTCTATGTAATGTGTTTTCCATAAGCTAGATACATAGTATATGAACAGTATAGTTTCTAGTGGTCACACGACGGTAGCATTACCCAAAACTGTGACTACAATTCTTGAGCCTTGTACTATATGGCCCCATATAGATAATTCAGGCAGTAAATGTTCAGAATTTGCAACCAAGTTGCATTTTTGGGTACAAAATAGATTGTATAATGTCCAGGATTAGTGCTCAATAGTAGAATATGTGTTGGCTTTGAAATAAAGTCTTTTTTTCAAAGAGCTGTCATATCCAGATAGAAAAGGTTTGTAGGGCTAAATTTGGAGATCTTTAATCACAATCTGGTTGTAATAACACAGTTATTTGTTTATGATTTGCAGATATTTTAGTTGGCTTTAAGAAAGATATTAGCATGGCGGTGGTTTTTGGTTTTTTGTTCCTTAATAACCCACATAGCTACCTACACTTTTTTGAAAGATTTCCATTACAGTTGTCCAGCTTGTTTTGACTAGTAAGCTAGAATTCTAAAATTACCTACCAATTGTATATAATTAGTATTATAAGTTATTATCTTAACCATGCTGGCATTTTATTTGGTGCCAGGCATGAGACTGGGATCTTGAATATCCTGACTTTCAGATGGCAATTCAGAGACAACTTTGCCGTTTAAGAGGATGAGAACATTTCTGGCATAGCATTTGCCGTGTTTTGACCTTCCAAAGAGAGGATTTCATAGCTACTCTTAAAATATTTTTTGTAGCACTAAGAACACACTATGAAGGAATGTAGTCAATCAAAACATTGCGATGTGCATATGCTCTGCATTGTGTTCCCTTTTTTTATTATGCTTTAGTATGCAGAACTGTTTTATAGTAACAAACAACTCAAATAAAAAACAGTTGTTTAAGAAGATCCAGGGCTTTCTGGCCTCTTGCAACTGAAGAGTGATGGTTTCACTATAGACAAAAGCAGTAGTTGGACTGTACTTAATTTTCCCTATAGGGATAAGTGTTCAAGAGGTGAATGCTTCAAAAATTGGGGGTAGGGGCTGTTTTAAGATTTAGGGAATCTTCCTTTGTTCTTTAAATGGTGTTAAGTCTACCTTTATTTTTGCATGCTGTACCTCAAAATATAGAAAAATGTGTTGATTTTTATATTGCCATAGTAGGATTTATTTATTATTTATTATTTAAATTTATATACCGCCCTATCTCCCTTACGGGACTCAGGGCGGATGGCACAGAGCAGAGTTTTGGTGTCACAAAAAAGGACTTGGGATCACATGCAGTATTAGGGCTATTTGTTTCCAGTCTTAGATGAAAGCATATTTTAGTTACTTCCTTGCTGTACTTTTGTTCTTTCTCATGTCACTGAACTGATACAAATTCAATTTCCTATTCTCCTCTTGAAGATTTCATATTCTTTGCTACAAGGACTCTCTTTAATGCTTCAAGGCCCATTTGTAATAGCATTTATGGTTTGCAAATATTTTAGTTGGACCTAATAAAAATATTACCATTATGGTTTTTGGTTTTTTATTTCTAACACAGAGAACTTTCCTTGAATGCCAGGCTGCTGATTCTCTTTTCTACCTTCTTCTGCTAACCAGGTCCTACTTTTCCCTTTGTTAAATGTAATGTGGTGTTTAGAAGATTCCTACTTTCTGTTGCAGTTTCTCCTTATTATTTATATGCGTGCTTCTGCTTCTCTGCACAGGTTCTGATCAAAAAAGAGATTGTGAAAAACATTAAGGGGTAGACTCAGATTATTAGAAAGTTGCTCTTCTACGGAAAAACATGTATAGTGTTTCAGATTTTTTTTTTAGTTATGAAAAAGAATTGATAAGGAACAAGAAAGCTATATCTAAACTCATGCATGATATGGATAGTTTTGCTTCCTCATTTGTAATATTGAAACTTAGAATCATTCACTGCAGTGAAATATAGGATCGGTGCTGAAGAAGTACCTCTTTATATAAAATATAATTAAACAATGGGCACTGAATAGCAGTTTAGAAGGTTTTTAAAGGAGTCAAAGTCATATTCCCAATCAATGGCAAATGGTTTTCATGGATGCTTAATAAGTTCAGAGTAACAGGCATACATCTTGTATACTAGTGGCTAGGTAATAACAGTAGAGATAGACGTAGAAGAGTGAGTTGTCCATGTTATGAATTAAATGAGTGAATTAAATCAGCCACTCTGAGGACTTTTGGTTTTGTGCAGTAGCAACACAGCTGAGGGATCGTGGGGTTCCGCACCCCAAGGCTAGTTTTCGCCCTGCCAGGGGACCCTTAAATGGGTCTAAAGTCGCCCCGGAGAGGCAATGAAAAAGGAGGGGCACCCTGTCGATCACAAAAAGATGGTGGTCTTTCTGTTTGATCTGGGGGAAGCCCTCCAACCCGACAGGAGAAAGGCTAGCCACACCCCAATGTCTAGCCCGAGCTACCAGCACCAGAAGTCCAAAAGCACCAACTAAGAACAACAGTGAACAGCATGTTGGAAACTGGGTAAGAACATCAATCTTCTCTTCTTTAATTTGAAACTGATTTCCTGGAAAAGATCCCCAAGAAGCAAAAAAAACCCTCCGAAAGTGAAGGAAGGGGATTACAACCCCACCACTCCATAGACGGAAGCTGCAATTTAATTTTTTAGGGGACAGAAATATATTGAAATGGACTAATGTAAAGGTATAATCTGGAAAAAACTGAACACTATGGAAATTGGCAAGACTTTCCATTTGAAAAAATATGATTAAAATTATAAGAAAATATATTTTTTTCATTTTGGAGATTAAAAAATAAATAGTTACTGCCATCTAGTGGTGGACTAAAGTATAGCACTATAGCTGCCCTGCATCAGAAATTGGTAAGACACCCAGAAACAGAGCACAACCTGTTCCTTTGATCATCAGTCTAAACCAAGAACAGCTACAATAACATTTATAAAAATACAGGAAGAACCCCTTGGTAAACTGAATACACTGATTCGGAAAGTTTCTTGGCAAAAGAAGAAGGTGAGAGTCAGGCCTAAGAGAGATGACTCAACCTACCAGATGGAGTATTACATGATTAAACACCTGTTTGAATATGGTTAAAGGAATAGTTAAATTTTGGATATGAATGGGTTCTATGGCAAATGTGATTTATATGTAGTATAGTATTTTTTTTTTATAATATGGGAAATGTAAAAATAATGGGATGACTTAGATGAATAAAATGTTTTGGATACTCAAATGTAATCAATTTGGAGAAAATTATATTTGATAAGAAATGTTTTAAATACTGAGGGGAAACTAAGCTGAAACAAGAATAGGCGAGAGCCAAATTTAAGAGAGATGATTTGAACTACTAGGTGGAGTACTATATGACTAACTACCTATTTGAATATGGATAAAAGAATAGTTAACAAGTGTACAAAATGCTTTGGATATCTAAATGTAATCAATTTTGAGAAAATTATAATCGATAAGAAATGTTTCGAATATTGAGGGGAAAGTAAGCCTAAATAAGAATTCTGAAAACAGGACTTATAGCGATTTACATCAGATGTTTTTTTTGCAAAAGTAATTGTAAAATGATATGTCTAGAAAAGATGTTACACACTGATGTTATTGTTATCTATACAAACACTAGAAAAATGCTTATACTTAACTTTGTATATATTGAAAGTACCAAGAACTATATCTGCTTCATGTTGGCAAAAGGAGAAATTTAGTGGAAGAAGAGAAGATTAAGAAAAGATATTTCTAGTTAACATACTGATCATGAAATTATAAAAATTAACTATTACTGATGGTTGTTAAATTTATGAAGCCACACAACATGTTGTTTACTAAGCACTAAGGATTATTATTGTAAATATATATATTTAAAAAATAAATAAATCAGCCACTCTGTGTCATTAGCCTGATTAAGAAAAAAGCCCATCTTATG